TCAGTCCGTTGATGCGACTTAGTTAGCCAGACGCTGTGTTCTTTTCTTCTCGCAACAGTGCGATCCTGAGTAATTTATCTGCTGGTGAACAATCAATTTCAAAGTGGCTCGTAAATAGTATGACACACATAAATATAATAGTAAAGATTTACAATTGATATAATGTTTGATATAGTTATGCCTAACGATTTGTATACTGACGTTTGTTCCTTGTAACTGAACTATTTGTATAGTTTATTTTTTCTTTTTTCTATGCAATTTTCAATTATATATTTATTTTAAGTGTAGAAAATACACTGTAGTGCAGCTACAAAGAACATCTTGGAATGTTTATTTTTCTTGAATTTATATTTGATGTTTCTAAATAATGTGTGTTATAATCTTACAAAACAATTACTATGGTTGCATTTCATTATTCCCTGCGAGTACTGAAAAAAGGCAAAGTCACAGTGTTGATCATTTAATGTAACAAATAAGTTAAAAAGATTCTGAAAAAATAGAGTTTTTATCTCCGAGAAAGCTGGAGCTACTGAATCTTTTGATTTAACTTATATGGAGTCTTATTCTATACATTTACTGATAATTGTCAGTGTCATAACGTTATGTTACATTGTACAGCTTTTTTACCATATAAATCTATATAGTGACATTGATAATTATTGATAGACATTTACTATTGGTAGAATAGAGTCCATGATATCTTGCCTTGGGCTGGAAAATAATTTTGGAGAAGAAGAAAAAGAAATAATGAAAATCTATGTATAATATATGAAATGTGAACTATAGATTTTCAGTATTCAATGAATGATGGAACGCAGTCTATATAAACAATTGGATAAATTCAAAACAGATCCAAAGAGATTAATTATTGCAGAATATAAAAATATTTTTGGTAGGATTTGGTAAGATCTTTTTATTTTTGTATACTCTCTTTGATTTGCATCCAGGAATAATTACTTGATTTGTTTTTAAACAAATGTTGGTAAACAATCACGTTTTTATACTCTAATTAAAATCATTATTATTATTAATAATAATGATTTTAATTAGATTATGATTTTAATAAATTATACATTATTGATTCTAAATTATTGATAGCTTTCTGATTTATTTGAGAACATTATTGATATGGATTTAATCACAATTTTCTGAAAAAAATTAGGAATCAAACAAATATTAAACAGAATAATTAATTATTAAGTAGCTTATTATAATATTAAAAAAAAAATAAGGATTTTAATTAATATAACGTTTTTTTTATTGTAAATTTTCGAGAGTTACATATTTAAAAGTTTATAAAACAATAGTTTGAAAGATAAAAAAAATATTTTGATATTTTATATCAAGTAATATTTATGTAAACAATATTTTACAATTATATTTTTTCGTTACTGAGGTATATGGTGACTGTTCCCAGTTTAATTTCTATTTTTCTGTAGTTCAATGCTATTTATAACTATATATTTGATTTCTTCATTTTCTAACTGAAACGCATCTCTTTATTTTTGATTCGCAGAAGTGAGACAAAATGTACAATGGCATTGGACTTCAAACTCCACGTGGTTCTGGCACTAATGGGCATGTTCAAAGGAATTGGGCTATCGTGCGAAAAAACAAGGATAAAGTCACTTACAAGATGGAAGAATCCAAAGCCGATCAATTGAATAAACAACCAAACAAGGAAATCTTAGACCATGTCAGAAAGAGAAAAGTTGAGGTCAAGTGTGCAGAGTTGGCTGATATTTTAGAAGATCAAGGGTAAATATCCATAAATCCTCCATCATATTCTATATTTGTTATTTTGAACTTTAAAAGCTTTTGAATTTATAAATTGCATCGCAGGATACAATTTCATTCATCATTTTTTTTTTTTAAATTGTTTTAAATTTTTTTTAAATATCTTATTAATCATCAATATCAAAATTTGCAACAGTATCTTATAACTTTTAATTTATTAATTGTTTTATGATTATAATTGTTTTAAGATCTCAAATGATAATTATCAATAATTACCGATACAGTTTGAATCTTTGTTCTTAACAGAATTTTAGATGAATTTATCTTCAAACTATTTGTTGAAGCCAAAGGTGGGCAAGGCAAATCCTATTAAATTTATAATCTCATTTAAGTTCGAAAGTAAAAAAGCTGCTTAGGAATTAAACCGACAACATGCTTATGACCTAAATATATAATGTAATATGAATACAATGTAAATAACATAGAATGAATATAAAATTATATAAAATTATATATTATATATTA